CTGCATAAGGATTTTGTGTTTATGTTTTGGGGGACGGGTTTTGAAAGAAAGAAAAATGAGATCGTGACAAGAGAATGCATCAGCAGTACATTGGCCATGCTTTGCGACGAGAAGAGGAGAGGAAACTATGATAAGATCAAGTAAAGAAGGTAAGCAATTAGGGAAAAAATGGGTAGCTTGAAGCGGTAAAATATCGAGATTGCAGGCGTCAACTACTTTCATGAGGCAATTTGATCGATAGTCATTTTTAATTGTGTGTTCATAAGAGGGAATTATGTTTTCTAGAAGATTTTCTAAAGGAAAAAATAATTAATAGTGGAAGACGGACTATAAAAAACTCCTAGTAAAACTTTGGAGTGAGAGAGGGAGACTTCAATAAAAAGATATTCGGCTTCCTTTGAAGGATCAAGACTATTTGAAGAGCAAACTATATTATAGGGAATATGGGAACGAAGATAAATAGCAACACCACCACCACCCTTGCCAGTACGATCGTTGCGAATTAAATTAAACCCTGGTAAAGAGTATGAAGGGGAAGGGAGACATGGCTTCAACCATGTCTCGGAGACAAGAATAGCGTGGATATTTTTTACATTGAAAGACGTTAACATGTCAGGATAATGTGCTGGTATGCTCTGCGCGTTAATATGTAAGACATTGAAATTGTTAGGAACGTCCAAGAATTTAGTTTGTAAGATTTCATCTAAAGATGTAGAAACACTGTGATAACTATTATCTGTAGCTGAGAAGATTGTATGGTAACTTTCGTCAAGTTCATCATTCATATTTGTGTGCAACAAAAATAATAATATAAATTATAATAAAAAAAAAAAAAAAATAAATCAACAAAAGAAAATAAAAACCTAAAAAAAAAACAGAAAAAAAAATGCAAATGCTACAAGGTTGCTATATCTACCCCTCAGTGGAAAGTTATGTAGATACAATATAAAAGTTGAATTAAAATTACGCACATTATTTAGAGTAAAAAATAATAAGTGAAAATGAATGTAACACAATAAATATCTCAGTCACCCTATTTCATGTACATTATAATCATAGATTAAGAACAGTGCTTGTGGTCCTAGCCTTATACTTTTGACTGTTGACAGCTAGTATGATATTGACAGATACATAATATATTAATTGAAAGGTGTAGGTAGAAAAAAAAAAATTCTAACTCTAACTTAGTCTCTCTAATATGGAGGTATAGGTGTTCTTTGCTCCAATCTGTCAGCGGAATAATAGTCAATGTTTACTTTAATATACATTAATCAACGATACCTTCCTCAGTGAAAAAAACTATACATATAACAAAAAAAAAATAGCGTAACGGACGGGCATTATTAACATTTAGTGATAAGCGTAGGTACATAAAACAGTAATCATGATAGTACATTTAAGTCATGTTTAGCAACAATAACAATAGGATTATTTTAGGTACAATATCCCGTCATTTCTTCTTGTCCCGTTTTAGGCGAGACGAAGCAGCAGCAGTGACCTTGGCGGGGTCTGTCTTTCCTAAAGCCTTTGTGGTACCTGAATCTACTGGTACTGCAGCAGAAACCTGGATGAGTTTTTGAACTTCGTCGACAGTACTGACTCGGTGTTTTAAACCATCTGATGTAATTACAATCACATAGCCGTCCCGAGTCCAACATCTCTTCACTCCGAACTGTTGACGAGCAGCCATGAATGCATCATGTCTAGACTTGGTCAGGAATTCTGACATAGTGACGCCGCTATCCTTCAATGCTGTCTTAGCAAACCATATTTTATTACGAGTAGCTGCATTTCGGAATTTTACTAAAATAGGCTTTGGTTTGTCAGCGCTTGATCGTCCCAGACGATGACTTCTACTGATGTCATTTGCAGAGAAGTCAGGAAGTTTAAAGTGCTCAGTTACAATTCTGACTACTTCCAAAGCAGAGTCATCGCCCCCACGCTCTTGAACCCCATGGAACAGCAAGATTTTGCGTCGACTGCGCATTTCAAGTTGTTCCATTTGACGTGCAAGTATTTGTACCTGATGTTGTAGGTTGTTCATCACCTCAGCTGCAAATGACCGAAAGGCGGTGAAGTCTGCCGCCAATGAGGAGATTGTGGCTGGTGTAGTACTTATCCTTTGGAGATCCTCTTGGAATGTTACCATCTTTGCGTTAAGAAGCTCCATCATTGTGTTCATTGATTGTTGTAGTGCGTCCATTATGAGATTATAGGAGTGAAAGAAAGGAAATAATATCACTGCAAGTAGATATTAGCTAGACTATTAATATACACATAAATATATAACCACTTATACAATATATATAATTTAAAATAACACTTATATTTGGAGACAAAAATTTTAGCTGTTACTTCTTACACATCTACCCGCAAAAAAAAAAAAATTAATTTAATTTAATGTATACTAAAAATATTTATTTAATGTTGGAAGTCTGCATTTATAAATAATTGAAAATATATTGTTGTATTAAATATTATATTCGTTGCATGTGCCCTAGTATAGAATAGACCACCACTTACTTTCCCGTAGGTGTCGTAAGAGGCGACTTAGGGAGGGCGAGGGATGGTCAGCAGCGCCTCTCTTAAAACAGCTCCAAAGCCTAACTGCGGTTGCCAATCCGTCTAATAATCGAGGTAACTACCGGTAAAACCTTCAATTGGAAGGCTTATGTTCAATAGTGGACAATTAAAGGCTGATATGATGATGATGATGAGTGATTATTAAGTAAATTACCTAATTTAAATAAACCTAATAAATCAACTGTAAGCGTATTTACAATTGTTAAATTTTATTTCAAGAAATAATTTATAAATTCAACTTCTTTACTTAAATACATAGAAAGGTGTCAGAATAATTAATTATCACTCACGAGTAAGAAAAGTAAATACTTACTTTGTTAAGAAGTCTTTAACTTATCTACTTTTCAACAAACTTAAAAAAAGAGGTTCTTAAATCATTTGTGGGTGTTTTTTTTTATTTTGTTTTTGTATATAAAGCGACGTCTTCGTTAATTCATCAGCGATTTTAATGTTTCTTGTTTTTAATCGAAAGTGTTTATTGCTAAGTTGATCTCGAATATTATTTTATTAAAATTTATGTTGGCTTCTTTTTATTATTTTAGGTGACAAAATATTAAATTGTTATCTAAAAGTACTTAGATAAGCATTTCTGAAAAAAGAAATATTGTCAATTATGTGCCATTGTGTAAAATATACAATACAGTGAAAATCAGCAAAATTTATTTCCTCAATTTATAAATAACTGGCAATAGGATTACACAATACAGTGGTTTCTAGAATCATAAGGTGGACATAATGAAATGTCAAATTTAGTTGTTTCCATTGTTAGTTCACTACACGGGATACCATTTAATTTATCATTTTACTTGTCATGTCACTGCACAATAAAAGTTACTCGTAGCGGCATTATTAGCTATGCTTAAATTTTATTATATACGTCTATTGTATTTTTTTAACGAGTGGAAATGGAACGATAATTCCTCCTACGCTATCGGTATACACTGGTAGGGTACCAATAAAACAAGAAGACAGACAGTGAAAATGAAAGCATGTCAGTTGGTACATCTTGACAAATTTTATAAGAATTAACCACGATGATCTCTATGGGGAACTGCGTGGAGGTCGACCTAATAGAATCTATTACTAGTAATGGAACAGCTTGGCCCTATTATGACCAATCCTTTTGCTCCTACATAGGTATTTTAGTGTTTCATACACCTATAAAGGAAGAAAGTTTTTGGATATAAGTCACACTAGAGAAAAATATATGGATTTCCACACGCACGAAGTGGAATTTGGTTTTACTTTTATTTGTAGAACTTAAATGATATGAAAAGAAATCATTAGTATTACCTTGTACTACCCTAAATCAAAATATTACCATTGTGTCAACCAAATCTACGTAGGTAATTTGCGTAGGCGGACTGATAAATTTCGACTACGATATTTATCATATCTAATCTTACCGTAGATACCTGTTATTCAGCTACCTCAGTCACTACATAATTCAATTAAGCTGTACCTTTATAATAAATAACTGTTGTATAGACTTGATTCTGATTCAACAATTTATAAGCGTCAATTTGTAGATAAGTATTATTGTTTTTATGTTATACCGTACGAATTTACAAGAGTGGTCTAGGTCCTAGGTTGCAGTATACTTTGTTAATAATTGGCCTTTTACATAGTTATTGCCGTGTCATTGGTATATGGAATTCGACGATGTGAATAGATTGAATATTTTCATTTGAAAAGGAAATTTCAACGCGGAAATTCATAAATTCTATCTTAAATTAACACTAGCAATAGGTAGTTTGAAAGTACCTTAAGGACGCTGCTGGTCAACCCTCGATTATTAAATTCCCTTAGTTGCCTCTTACGACACCCATGGAAAGGGTTGCTCATTTTATGCCGGGACAACACGACATAATTTTTTATAGCTTATTATAACCAAAGCAAATAGGGATATCACTGAATACAAATAATGTATTTTTTTATATCCAAATTGAAGTAGCTATTTATTTATTATTATATTATTTTACGACTGCAATGCACCACCGAGGCTCGGCTTGGCACGGCTTAATTCTGTGCCTTGTCTTCCTCGAGTACTAATTAGGCACAAATTCTTTAAAGGATTATTTAGTTTTGCTATAATTTTAAACTTACACTGCAACCCATGTGATTAAATACTACCAAGATAACTAAAGTAATATTGGAGTAAAATTAATTAAATTGTTTTGAAGAATTTGTGGCTTAAAATAAATAAAATAGATATATACTTGGGATTTTGCTTGAAACAATTTAAGTAGTTTAAACTATAAACATTTTTTTTTAAATAATTACCAAAGTAAATCATTAAATAAAAATAAAAAAACTTCAGCTGACTTCAATTATAAGTTTCATCAGTTAGTAGTCGCATATAGTAATTTAGAAGTAAGTATACAACAAAGTTATGCTCTTTATGGCTCTAATCTTACCGTCATCACGCATAATGGCGTCACGTAGAGCAATCCAAAGTTGACCATGTCGAAAAGTTCCGAGTTGTATTTTCTTCGATGCGATATACAGATGGTCTCCATACGGCCGTTCCCCAAATTGTTTGGTATTGTCTCAACCCATATAAATTTTGGAGCGCTGTATGCAGCACTCGTTATCCAAACACCGAGAATCACTAGCTGCAACAAAAGAAATGTATAGAGCTACTAAGATAAAATTGTAATCATAAACTCCTTATTTATGGCATTAATAAATCCTAGATACACAACCAAAGACGGTAATTAAAATAGAATGCAATTAATGGAATTGCACTCAATTTTGTAGCCAAACGTATTGAAATATTCTTACAAATATTATAAAAATATAAATATAAAGTCTAGACAAATGTTGGCACACGATTGTAGTTTCATATTTACTTCGTTCTCGCTTTGTAAGGTTTTGTATGAGACTGTGAATCGTGTTTTTTTTTTTTCATTTTTTGTTTTTCAGGGAAACAAGAAAGTACGTAAATAGGTAATTATCATATCGTATAATAAAAAAGAACACGTCGGGAGGCTTTGCCACAGAACATTATTCAATTATTTTTAGAATTGATATCTGTTACATCATAACAGATTAGCTGAACGGAATAAATTAAGATTGTTTTATTACATTGGATATTTTCCAAACTTAAAAACTGATTCATTTGATTTTTTTAAGTATGAATTTGTTATGTTGCGTCAAAAAAATATGTTAATTTCGATTATTACGCGGAGGAACTTATAGCCACATTCAGAAAAGAAATAATATTAAATATGCTTATGACTATAATCTATAAATGAGGTAAATATTTTGAGACAATAGACTATTGTGGTGCATGAAGGTTATATATAATTTCTTTCATTTGAGACTAGCTCACTTGTAATAGAAACCTCTGTTAAATAACGTAATTAATACAGTAATAGCGTGGGTCGACCCTCCCACGTAGGATTCAAATAAGAGAGATTTTGGCTAATAATTCCTAACTGTTTTTAAAGTTTAAAGTATTTGTGAGTAATTCTAACTGAACTAATTAAGCGATTTCACTGTGGTTTCTTTTGCCTGCTAGCTGTTTTAATCAGGACTATTACAATTGTTTCGAAAAAACTTTGCCAAATCTAAAAAATATCGATTTTTTTAATTATTAATAATGACTTAGTAATTTCCTATGCAATTTTTACATTATATAGGTAGAATGTTACTATCAGATAATGACTGGTTCGTGAATTAAACACCTTTATGTATAGTTCATATTATTATATATTATTCATCATCATTTCAGCTATTTTCCGTCTATTGCTGGATATAGGCCTCGCCCATAGACTGCCGTAAGAAACAGTCCTGAGGCACCCGCATATTCTGTCCCTGATTAATCCCTGCAATTCATTTGAAGTCGTCCCTCCATCTAATGGAGGGGGGGTCTTCCTGCACTGCGTTTGTCCGTACGGGGTCGCCACTCAAGAACCTTTCTTTCTCATCGGTTGTCGGTTCTTCGAGCTATATGACCAACCCGTTGCTACTTCAGCTTGCTTATCCTTCGTCGGTTTTTTTCCTTAGTATTTTTTTTGTACAACTTAGAATGGCAAACAAGCTGACGGCCCACCTGATGGAAAGTGGTAACCGTCGCCTATTGACATGAGCAGTACCATGGACATAACAGAGTATACTGTATCGCCCATGATACCCCCCATGCGTTGCCATTCCTGAGGACTCAGGTGTTATTCCTCTGTACCCAGAAAAATTCACGCCATATCCCACCCTTCAAACCTGAACACAGCCATGCAAACACAACTGCTTCACGGTTGAAACACGAATGGGACAGAGGTACCCAAGCAATCGACTTTTGTACAAAGTCTCTCTCTGGTAATATACGAAATAATATAATTAATCCACAATTTATATATTTATTTACAAATAAATTTACAGCAAATATTTTGTTTTTAAAAATAAATTATGGTATTTTTTAATATAAATCCTCTTTGTACAGCTGAAAAACATAAATCACTGTGCCATTTGGTAGACAGCGGGAATGTTGTGATTAATTTTGATATTTATTTTAGAAACTACGTTGTTTTTTATCAATGTTGCAAAAAAGAACTGAATCCCTAGAGATCTAAAATGTGTATTTTCTTTTTATATTTCTTATTACAGAGATAAATTAAAAAAAAATGCTTACGATATAAACCTTAATGGGGTAGTCAGTGGTTAGACTGTTGCCATTGTGATAAATACAACACACGTCATGACTAAATTAATCAAGAATATTAAAATTAAAGTTTGTTATCAATACATTCTACCTCCCGTGTGGTCTCGGCATAGAATAGGCTATTCCTACCTTTCCCGTGGGTGTCGTAAGAGCTAAGGGAGGGCGAAAAATGGGCAGCAGCATCTCTCTTAAAACATCTCCAAACTTTAATTGCGATTACCAATTGCCAAGCGTGGCAACTGTTGACAATTAAACATAAACCTCCCACTTGGAGGGTCCCGAGGGGTAGGCTTATGTTCAGCAATGGATACTTAAAAGCTGATATAATGATGATATTCCACCACCGGAGTGTTAATTGAAGTTTTAAAATAAGAAACAAAAAGTTGCTAATTGTACTGACCCTCAAATGAATAGTAATTCATTGTTGACAGCCAGATTATCGGACACGACATTTCTGGTCTATAAGTCGTAAAAGTATACGACTAGGCCACGGTATTTACGACGAGGTAAATCCAACATATAATAAAAATGACAAATTTTGTATTTTAAACTTGTGCAACTGAATGTTGGAGATAATAAATATATTATTATTGTACAATTAAATATGACACAATATTGTAAACTTCTAAATTAGAATTCTAATATAGCAACTAATAATTAAGTAAATTATTATATTATTAATCAATATTAAATGAAGATGAAATTTTAGAGGAAGGTCTATAATTGAATTGTTATATTGTTTCATAATAATATTTATGAATTAAAGTAATAAACATTCATTCGTATGACTTAGGACACGATATATTCAAAAAACTACTTACCCTCAGCCTCGTAGATGTAAGGATTTGTTTACACGTTATAGGGTGTATAATGGCAAAATATCTCTCTGTGCAAATAACAACGAGTATGAAGATTGACGCTGTGTAGCTTAACGAATGAACGAACTGGTACATCTTGCAAAGAAAGTCACCGAACACCCAGCTGTAAATGAAAATAATCAATTAAACATTTGTATTTATTTATTTATTACCTTAACACTTGACAATTTTATTAATTAAGTATGGGAGTATTTACTAATGTTATATATAGGCAATGTGTGCTTGACAAAAATAGTCATTATACCTATTCAATAACAATAATAAAAGAAAATCGCATTCTAGCAATTGTTTTGTGTGCAACATCACAGAGTGCGCTCTAAAGCCCTCATATTTTTTCTGAGGACTAAAGCATTATATTTCCTTATCCACTAATTTCTATAGGATATTTTCTCTCATATATTAATTTAAAATATAGCAATGTGCAACCACAATTGCCTGGTGGTAAAAATCCGAGGAGCAAATACCTATGTCACGTGTCTTCTTGAGTAATCCATAGAGACGTCTTTTGTACAAAGTCTCTCTCTGTAATATAATAATATTTATATTGGAGTTTATATAGTTGTTAAATTAGGGAAGTTTTCATTTTATCTTTTTTGAGGCTTAGGATACAAATATATCTATTAGACATCTCATCATAGTTACCTATTCATATCTAGTGTAATTCTTAATTCGAACTTTATCATATAACATATTAATGAAATAACTGATCTATTTAGAATTTTTATTAATTTATGTTCGTAATATAATATAACGTTAATTGAAAGTAACAAAATACTTTATAAACGCATAATTTTACGTCGCTATATTTAACGTCATCTATTGGCTTCTGATATAAGATTCAGTTTAAATTTATTTTCATGGTTTAGGCTTACGTTGACAAAATTAATCCGTAAAAGGAAAATTTCGCATCTGCATTAGCTATATGGTTAAGAATATGTTTGTTACCTCTTGAAACCTTAAACACTTTATCAACACTTCACACAATATGCAGTATTTACGTAAGTGTGACTACTTCTTTCATAAGTAGCCAGAATCTCTTAAAAGCCGATTCAGAAAAAGACAAGTGCAAATAAAAGAAGACTCGAAATATAATTCTATGCCTAACCACCTTGCTAGTGTGACAATAGTAATCTAATATTCTTTTCTTATATATGATTAGCAATCTGCTTTGATTATGCACGGGTAAAAAGACGGGTGGAAAGACAAATTAGTATTTTATCTGTGTGTGTAAATTAACTAATATTAGTTTTAAGAACATTGTTACTAGTAAATATGACTAAAAGAATGTTCCAATTTTTTATGAAAATAATATATAACCTATGTTATTCGTTGATAGCCAATGTAGCTTTTTATAGGTAAAAGATTTTTTTATATCAGTTGAGTAGTTTTCGAATTTATTTAAAATAAACAAACAATGAAATCATTCCTTTTTATAATATTACTATAAATATAGGTTTATTCCTGTCAGTCAAACCTATGTCACGGTCGTGGGTATATAGAAGTGGGATAAAGTCTGTGTTACATTTGGTTACATTATGTCAATTTTCAAAAATCACTAGGTAGAACAAGTTTATACAATACTTTTCTATAGTTATTATTCGATTTATTTAAAAATGTCTTTATATATTTACTAACTATATATACACTACCTTATTATATCGTTTAGAGATAACTATTCCGTGTCGTTATATGATATGGTAAATTATAACAACATGAATAAGAATTTTATTTTAATTTTTGACATGTGACACGTGATGCAAACTTCTGTAACATCAGTATTACATGTATTGTAACATTAAAACTTTTAAATGTAAATTAAAACATTTAGTTTTGATTTACAGGGAGGAAGAGTGAAACCTCTAATTTGTAATTAGTAGTAACTTTGATCGTACAAAATAAGAGGGAAAAATTGTTTCAACAAAATGCTGACGTTATACTTAATATTCGTATTAACTTCAAAGAAAGTATAATTGTACCAAAACAAGGAAACAAATAAGATATACGTATTTGAAAAACTGCAAACATAATATTTAATAAAACCACATAACGTTGACAGCTGTAGTTAACTGTAGGCTTCTGTTTTCTTAAATTTCAATCGCAATTTGGACCTTAATAAATTAATTATCACAGTGTGCCATAGTTTCCTCGGATCAATGAAAAATGTATATTGTATGTACTATTGTTTCATTTTGTTATGTTAATTAGACCTTTATATTAGACCTTTAACAGAACGACGTTTTTAAATGATCCATTAATGTCAAAATAGCAATCTAACATCACAAAGTCCCTTTGAGTGCATTTTCGTCACATCGTTTGGTAAATGATTGATGAGATGTCTCCCGCCTCCTGAACAATATAATCAACCCTTTTTTGTTGAGTTCAAAGAGCAAATCACAAATATATCTATGTAGATACCTAAATATTTTTTCTACTAACATACACTATTTATGTCATATCAAATAACAAGGCAATTAATGACAATATTATAAATAGCCTTCCTAATTTTTTTTATGATATTTATTAGAATAGCAAGCATGCTGACGGCCCATCTATCGGAAAGTGATAATTATTACCTATAGATACAAGTACCACCATGGAGATCGCAGAATATACTGTGCTTATGGTATCTCTCATCTGTTGCCATTTCTGAAAATAAAACCGTATCCTTCCGCACCCTGCAATTTCACTGCCATATCCTACCCTTTAAACGGAAACAGCCATACCAGCACAAATGCTTCACAGCAGAAATTCGATTATGTTTGAAATGTTTTTTGATTATAATTATTTATCTTAGACACATGGTACTTATATGTCAAAAAATTTACATTTAAATTTGTTTTGTGCATGGTACCCGTACTCGTATAGGTATAGTATAAGTAGGTTAGGTTTGGTTTGGTTTGGTGAAAGCCAAAAAATTAAGTTTTTTTTATATGAAGTCCTTACATTTACCGACTCATATTGGTAAATCCTAAAATTTACTAGTTAAACCTAAGATTTACCAATGTACGGTTTTTTTTACAGATTCATATACATATATCTACTGTTTATAATTATAAGCTATGCACACTTACAATACAGTTTCATATAAATTTCCATACTTTATAATGTAGAACTATTGATTGGATGATTTACAAAGATTACAATATTTTTAGGGTTCATGTACGCTTGTTTCTTTTCTTTATTCCCATACTAGCTGTTTACCGTGGCTTCTTCGTAACTAAAGCTAGGATAACTTAATCAAAACGTAGAGTGAAGTAAATTTTATATTATCTTATTCCGCATACATACATATCATATTATTTTATAACATTAAAATTGTACATTTTTTATTTGATTTTTTGATATATGATATTTTCTGTAGATTTGTGATAAAAATGGGGATCGTATAATGATATAAAAGTATTATATGTTTTATAAAATAGACATGAATTAAGAATTATGTTAATATAATTTGAATTTGAAGCTATTGTGATATAAAAATAAAATGTAAATGTAATATTTCGTTGAAAATTTACAATCTTTATTGTCATAAAGCCTATTTTATGAGGGAATATGCCAAAGGCTATTCTCGATAAAAAAATATTATGATAATGAATGTTCCGGTTATTTTATGATACGGATATGGCTTTGATGTAATTCAATTCCATAATATTTATTTTATTTACAATGGAATATTCTAACACCTAAAAAAATCTTTTATGGGCCTATATGACAATATATATGTTTGTTGTTACAATGTACTTTCATAACTTCTAAAAGGATTGTTCTAGAAGTTTTTCTCGCGCATTCTCATTACAATGTTCTATTGATTTATAAAGAATTTTTGCACTGATCTTGAGGCGCGGATATACATGTACGTTTTTATGCATTTTGTATGCAATAGAATTGAGTAGAAAGATTGATTTGGACTTTCTAGTACTTATTTTGACTCATCCCGATTCGTCAATAACTTTCTAAATATTGGCTCAACGGGTATAGAAGTCGAGCGGTATGCAGTCGAACAATAATTTTTGTTTCCAAACTATAGCGATGGGAATACCTCTCGAAATGAAGAAGAATAATCAATTGCATTTATTGTAAGCTAATAAGGACTGGGCAAACTCCATAGCGATTTGGATTATTAATTTGGGATCTCTGTGCCTAACTATTGGTGAATAAATGTACGTCTTGATATGTATTTACTCCGTACGTAGCAATATATAAAAAAAATCACATTCTTATATTATTAAAATAGTAGTAGTACACCTAAAATATAAAATATATCAGTTGCAATGTAATTAACGCTTAGCCTATGATGTAGTAGATTATGGCTATTATCAATACAAACGAGAGAGTGGAGTTTATTTTGATCAATCGTGAGTTATAGTTGTGTCGTTGAGTGGGACATTTGGACATAAGTATCGACAAGCTGACGATAACTCACAGCATCGGCCCTAGGTCTTGATCAGGGCAAAGCGAGACGGTCTTTCGGCGTTCTTTGGTCGATGCTGTCACTTTACGTAAATTCTACTTCGGTTTTATGCAAAAGACCTGTCACCCATGTAATTTTACAAGAAACGCTATAGTTTAAGTTCAAGACTAGTTTAGTCGCTCTAAACTGTCTGTTTTATTTTTTTTAAAAGTTTGTTCTACGGATTTATCTAATCATAATCTACGGATTTTTTAGTATCACACATTTTTTAAAATCTTACTTGACAACAATGCTTCTGTGCTTCAAAATTTTATTTTTTGCTGAAAATTATATTACGCGTTTAGCTATTAGGCGCTCCTTGCCATCTGGCGCCCGGAGCGATTGCCTTCCTCGCTCTACCCCAAGAAAATGTCATTTATTGTTTTACGTTAATAGTTTCAAAATACTAAAAGGTACTAAAAGGGTTTACTATTTTTTATTGTTTGAGAAATCCTATTATAATAAATGTGAAAGTTTGTAACGATGGATGGATAGATGGATAAAAGGGGTGGATGTTTGTTACTCTTTCTTACAAAAATTACTAGACAGATTTGAATGAAATTTGGTACACGGGTCGTTTATATCGTAACATAGTATATAACATACTTTATGTACTGATTCACAGGGGTGAAGCTGCAAGATTCAGTTTGTGGTAAATAAATACATCATTTATTGAAAATATTAAAATTCTATGAAATATCTGTTACAATAAAGTATATTGTATAGTTAGTTATATGTGTAATATATAACTGGAATAGTAAATTATCTATTCTCGTTGAACGAATGTAAACATGACGTTCATTTGGGAATCATTAATGCACACATAAACTAATGACATAATAACTTTATTTATTATCACTTAATATTACTATAGGTTCATATGTCATTTATATCTTTTATCGATATTTCATACATATAATGTAGTATTTTCGTATATCAGGACATTTACTAATAGCGTTTATTCGTGACTTCGTTCGCGTAACCGGGATATATGCCCTGACTGGAAAAAAAGGAGTGCATGTCCATTTCCATCCCCTGTAGTGCGTCTATGTCATATAGTAATTTATTAAATTGTTTTGGCGCTAAGAGGTAAGAAACAAACAAACTCCATTTCACATTAATAATATTATTAAGGATAAGGATCAACATATCCTTCTAGACAACTTTACGAAAAGAAGACGGAAAACGACAAATCTAGTAATCTTGTAGTCTTGGAAGCTACTCAATTAAAAGAGCATTGTTTTGAATGTGGGAATCTATAAAAAATACCACAGGTTTTAATTTTTGCTACATTCATCCTTAATAAATTCTCACGCCATTTCACATCTCTTCATCATCGAATATGTCTCATATATTGTTATATATGTATTTGTTTGCGCAGATTATCTATCTCGAGTCTAGCGACAATACTGGTTTCGCTGTCAATAAAGCAAAAGTGGATGTCATATGACTCAATCAATTTGTACGGATTACAATCTATGATGTAGATAGGACATGATATACCAGAAAGGGTTTTATTTATTTATTTAATTAGCATGCAAATACATTAAAAAAAACTATGAACTTTTAGTATCACTTAAACCTCTTGGGTTTGTGTGTGATACTACATTTCGTTTTCAAATGTTAATATTTACATTAATATTCTGCTGTTTTAGCAATGGTTGGACAGTAAATACGCTTTTAGTTTAATCTTTATGTTTTTAACAGTGACTTTGCACTGACTGACTAACTGCTTCGCAAGTCAGTAGGTAAAGAATTTACTAATCGCAGTATGAGGTACGCGATCGTTCGCTCGCTATTGTAGTTTTTTGCTCGAGTAATGACTAGCTTGTTTTGCGTGGCGGAGCGTGTATATGTTATATAGCATAATTTATTTTTGTTTGAATTTCCTGTTTAAAGTGTTGTTCTTTTAGGAGGCAATGTAAGAATGTCTGAGAATATAAAAAAAAAACACTAACCTACATTTTTTTTACCCTCATTAAGAAAAGGCAGGCTAAAGAATATATATATATTTTTTTAAATAACGAACTTTTCCTTATTACTAATTGTGTGATCACGTACTCACTTAAAATAAAGGTTTAAAAGTTGTTTTCATATTTTGACCTATAAAATTGTACATTTTTTTCTATTATAGTCGACGATAAATAAAAGTTATACAAAATATAACAAAAGGAAAATGTGTAAAAAGAGAACTTTTGACGCTTTTGTAATGTAAGGGTAGGTAGGGTCGGTGCATCGGGTTGTTGGAATAATAAGACTCGAGGGATATAAAGATTTAGCGCTTCGCGTTTTAATCTACCATATTTCTTTGTCTTAAACTGAGTGCTTAGGTAATTTCTACAAATTATTTTTTTTTATTTATGAAATATTTTCTATAAATAAATTAATTATTTTTAATTAAAAAAAATACAAGAATCTTGGCATATTATTATAAAATTGGCCAAATACAGAATTAAGTAATACTACAGTATATCGACATATTCTTTTGCACTGATTTATTATATTTCTTATGATAGATGAAACACGGAGTATGGTAAAATTAGTAAATGCCAATACAAAGTTTGAGTTCAATTAAATTTTAAGGAAATTTACAACACATAAAATAAAACACATTTATAAAAATATTAAAATTTGGCTACGACAACCGCTTATTATCATGTGGGCCGTATGCTTCTTTACCAGTGGTGTAAAAAAATAACTTACATTTTTGTTTGTTACATGTATTTTTATTAAAACTTTTTTTGTTATTATTATTATTGTATTGTATAGTATTCAAATAAAAGTTTAGAATATTGTAAGTGTACAAGTAAGGTAAATTATATGAGGGGCCCTATGCATATTATTATCAGTCTATTGCACTCAACTGCTGAATATCTGCTTAAAAGCCACTTGGTAAGGTTTTATGTTTTGTCAGGTTTTTTGTTATATATATGATTTAAGATTTTCAGCATGCTACTAATCTCACTTACTAAACCGGATATTCTTCGTGTTAAACAGATCCAAATATTACCATTATTGTTTTCATTAATTAAGATTATACGCACCTCGGTATAAGATAAATCGTTAGATTCTGGAAGACACAGAACACACCCACACATAAATCTGCCACTGCTAAATTAGCTAGAAAGAAATTGGTTATTGACCGAAGTCTCCTTGAAAGTGTTACAACCAAAATCACCAGCAGGTTACCTGAAAATAAAATAAAAACATTAAATTTAGTTTTGTACTACGCATTTCTATAAATTTTTTTATAAACGGAATTACAACTTTTTACTTCTTAAATGTCTATAATATTTATTAATTATGGTGACTGATCCGTTAACATTAGGTAATATAAGATTTATATATCTAATTTTATCAATTGAGTTTTTATATTCAACTACGATTTTTAGTTACTTTATTTTGTTGCATTTTTTTTTTATACAACTTAGAATGGCAAACAAGCTGACGGCCCACCTGATGGAAGGTGGTAACTGTTGCCTATAGACATGAGTAGTACCATGGACATAACAGAGTATACTGTTTCGCCCATGATACTCCCAATGCGTTGCCATTCCTGAGGACTCAGGTGTTATTCCTCTGTACCCAGTAAATTCACGCCATACCCCACCCTTCAAACCGAAACACAGCTATGCAAACACAACTGCTTCACGGTTGAAACACGAATGGGACAGAGGTACCCAAGCAATAGAATTTTGTACAAAGTCTCCCTCTGGTTTATAATTTTTTTTTCCTCTAATTTATAATATCACAAAAGATTCGTTTATTGAATTGAGTAATATAATCTCTTACAATAATATTTTAGGATTTTGCTTCGCAACAAGAAAGCAGCAGCTTCAATTATAACAAAATTAATATGGGAGCTACAAAGGTGTAAATCCTTTTGATTATAAGAGGAATCCCTTTTGAATGTATTATAATATGGGGCTCTTCAAAAACGAACATAGGGGATTTTAAAATTTTCTCTTGTGTTGCAAGCATTCATGGACGAAGGTAGCTACTTCCCATGAAGTAGATCATCATCGCGTTTGCCTACAAATAAAAATAAATAAGAATTGAAAAGGATTTTTCTCCGATTCTTCTGAATTATCAAATACTTTTACCCATGGCTTGGCATGGCAACGAACAGAGATAAAAAGTAGCCTAGGCCCTTTTTACAAACAAACAACGTACGTATATATATATATATATATATATATATATATATATATATATATATATATATATATATATATATATATATATATATATATATATATATATATATATATATATAAACACAGAGGTATACTGAACAAACAAACCAACTATACTCTGTTATGTCCATGGTACTGCTCATATCTATAGGCGACGGTTACCATTTTCCATCAGGTGGGCCGTCAGCTTGTTTGCCATTCTAAGTTGTATATAAAAAAAAAACTTTACAACGTAAGAATATCACGTATTGCATGAAAATGAATCTAGTGCAGCATTATAGACCTATTAGTTCTCCCATAGCGCCAGCTGAGAACTTAATAATTTTACTGGTATGTAAAAAAAAAAAAAAAAAAAAAAAAAAAAAAAAAAAAAAAAAAAAAAAAAAAAAAAAAAAAAAAAAATTTAGAGCATTGTCGTACAGTATAGAATCCATTTTATGGCCTATTCAATATGCTTGGAAACTACAAAAACCATCAAATTTTTTTTTTCAATAAAGTTTATAAAATATTTTATAAATATAAAATTTTCGATTAAAAGTCATGATATATGTATTTAAGTTTTAGAATTTATTACATACAAATTTTGAAATATATAAAAAAAAGTTAAAATATTTTTATAAAGTACTCAGAAATAATTTTACAATAATAAATTTTGTTCTAAATAATTTAAATATCTATAACGATTTCGGATGAGTAAAGGCAAAAAAATATAGTCCATGTTTCTCACTGATAATGTAGTTTTATATATGTATTTCACATGATTTTTAAAAGCGGTTGAATAGTTTTTATGTTTATCTATTTGTACTGGACAAACATCTTTCCTCTTTAGCATAGATTATAAGTCTTTGGATAATAATAGAATCTACTGTTAATATTTAAAAAATTATTGTGTCACCGATTTTGCAAATAAAGTTATTAAAAATCTGGCACGAGTTTATCGGTAAACCAGAGAATGGTGTTTACTTCTAGTCGGTGGATCTCAAATCGATCATAATTCGTGCGATGTATGCACAACGGTTCTTGGCACTCGACAGACTCCTTCTTCGAACCGATATATACTCTACCTTAGGGTATAATATCCGTTGTGTTGGTACGCATCGGAATCGGAATGTAATTTATTTTTTCTATGAATTTCGTGATCTTTACACTTTCTGTTGGAATGAACGCAGTCGTCTGCTCACGTATTCGGTATGCATGCTGTATATTATTATTTTTGAAAGCCAAGCTTTTTTAAACCGAAAAACTTGTAACACTGCGACCTTTCCATGATCTTTTGTGCTCGCCCCTTTTTTAAAGTTCGCTGCTAATTCCTATTAATAATAGGAATTTTAAGATGTTTTTGTAGCGATGTTTTTAGCTCCTCAGGATATAAAATGTGTTTTCGTGTTGTGGCGGCGTACCTTGCTCATTGTGACAAAATCTGTAAACACTTTTTAGGCATAAGCTTAGTTGGGCCATATGCTTATTTAGTTTGCAGTGTCCAGTAAGAGCCCATTTTAATAGACACATATTATTTTTATTCAAACCAATTAATTTTTTAGAGTAATTTTCTGCAAACTTCTTAATCAGGGCTTTTGAATGATTTAATTCTGGCAACAGGAGCCAGCTATTATTTGCTGCTTCTAAGCTTTTAAGTTTGAGATGTTTGTGCTTTAGGCTTCGAGGTATACCACAATAAGGTTCTGGTCCTATTTAGGTATTCATTGCCCCCTTCCTTTGCCAATTGATTAGCTATTTCATTTCCATCAATATTTGAGTGTCCAGCGTTCCATCTAAGATAATGTTATTTCTGCTATCCAAGTTATTTAATAACATTTCTGCAGTTGTTTATAAGTTTTGACTTAATTTCATATGAGTCAAGAGCAAGTAATGCCACTTGACTATCCAAATAAATTAATATATGATTATTTAAGTAGTTCAAACTTAGATTCAGTTTTATACTTTTTATTATGGCCATAGTTTCATATTGGCCATACCTTCAAAGATTGTGGCATACTTACCTAAATTGAAAGAGCTGTGAACTATTGGTTTATACCATAAATACCATATCCCGCATATGGAAGTCCTAAAGAAGCTATATAAGTGTGAATGGATTAACAGAAGTTGGATATTTATGTTATATTATTTATTATATTTCATATACAAAGTAAATTAAGTAAATATATGATTTCATAGTATGATATCTAAATTAAATGAACTGTGAGAACTTGTGCTTCATTTCTATTTAATATTTTAATTCTTTTTTTGATACGGGTGTAGTACTCATAGCCCCTGTTATTATAATTATCAGGCTTGCTATTCTTTGTAGACTGTTTAATTTATTGCCTGCGTTGACTTTTTCCACCAAATTACGCAGGCATATGTTATTAACGGCCTAACTATGGCAGTGTGTAGCTAAAGGTCGATTTTAGGATTTATCTCCCATCTTCACCTGGCTATGTTGTATGCCTGCTCTCACTTTCCTATTTTATTTTTTTTAAATTATTATTTATATTTCTTTTGTATTTTACATCATAATTTCAGTGCTATTTTCTCACCCTATTTATTGTATTGATAACATTCAGCATATGACTTCGCAGATTTTTAGCAGCTCGGATTTCGAGCGCGTTTATTGTAAAACGCGCAGCGCAATTAATAAATGGAAATAAATTAATGCAACAATAAAGTGTAAATAAATAATTAAAACTATTGATCTAGTTAAAATTATTTAGTTAACCAAAATCAAAACGGTAACAGTCCTTTTTTTATGTCATTTCAAAGGGAATACAAGATGCCACTTTTTAGCAGGGGACCCCTCGCTAAAAAGTGGCGTCATAAACATCACACTGAAAATTTAAGTTGCACCCAATAATTTCACTGCTAAATTCTACTTTTTAAATCATATTTTTTTAAAAGATGTCTTTGCGCCAATTTAAGAGCAAACTTGTCATTTTTATAATCCAATGGATTTATTGTCATGTTGTTAACTAATTTGATATTAATTTGTTCAAGATTGAAATTCTACAATTCCAGGTAATTTAATTACTGGGGTAATATCGAATTTGTTAATATGTATAGAGAAGTAATTTGTCTATCATTGAAATTAAATTAAACGGCATGATATCTTAAGTATTTATATACTATAATAAAGTATAATTTATAATAATACTTATATTTAATTTTTTTTTTCTTACAAAACAGGAGACAAACGAACAGGTTCACCTGATGGAAAGTGACTACCGCCGCCCATGATCACCCCCAACACCAGATGCATTGCAAATGTGCTGCTGGTCTTTTAAAAAAGAATATGCTCTTTCTTGAAGGCTATGATATATCGGTATACATACTTTTCATAAAAAGTAATATGGGTATTATTCTATATTTAAATTTATCTATTAATGTACACAAAATATACAGAGAAACAGTTTCGTGATGTAAGTAATAAAAATTGTATTTTTAAGTTGGTGAATGTATTTGTTTACATTTACAGTTTCTCTATACGCTCCTTTTATTAGTAATCACAATATATTCAAACAATAAAATTTAATTATTGGACACTTTCTAAATAATATATTGTTATTCTGCGAAATTCGACAAGTTTATAAGTAAATGTATTCAAGTCCAGATACTAGCTCATGACACCGTTGAGTGTGGTATTATAATTAGAAGATAATAAGACGCTCGAATGCATATTAATGTCATGATGTTCTGATTATATTCATACTATTTAAACATTTAAAATGTATTCAATTAATAAAGCTAATTTTCGTTTCATTTCGAGTGAATTATATCCTACCATGCCCAATAAAAACTTACTAAGATATAAAGTACGATATTTAATATAATATATGTAGTATCCATACTGTTTTTGATATAGCCATCTCATAACTTTTCTATAGATATCTGATAGATTTTCTCCACCATTCTGACTCATGTAGATTCCAGATAATTGCGTTACTTTTACTTACGTAGGAATACATTATACAACATTTTGATGGCCTGTATACAGTTTAA